ATTCGTAAACCCTTTATAAAGGTAGTCTTATTGTAAAGTGGTACTGATTTATTTATGGAATATACAGTAGGTTTGAGTAACAAAAGACCTTACAAAACTATTAGGTCAATTAATGTGTTTTAAAATGTGTATATCCAGAATTCTATTTTCATAGTATGTTTTCCTCATAGCCATATCCGTTGATGGAAATGTACTGGACAAAGCGTACATTTATATATATCAGAATGACTCAGTGTTCTTTCTTTGCACAAGTTGCCTTGGTGAAAGCAGAAGAGGAGTATAAAAAGAAACAGCAAAAAACTCTCAGGTCAGTCTCATCTGTAGTTGATCCCCCACCATGACCTCATCCGCAGCGCTATCACCTCCAACATCTCACACTGCCAAATCCTCTCAGCAATTGTCGGTGGCTTTATCATACACCCAGCAGGAGAATAAGAGAATATTTAGCTTCTTCCTTTGAGAAAGGCCCAAGATACTCACCTCCAAAGCTTCCCCATTAAAGTGTTAAGATTGAGAGTTGCCCAATTGTAAGAGACCCTGTATTTTCATGGTTGTCAGATGGTCAGAAGACATTTTCAATACATTTGATAGGAAGAAGACGTTAGACGTTGATATACGATACGAAAGATATACTTTATTGTCCCCGTAAGGAAATTATACAAACATAGTAAACATTAAGAGACATACACATATCATCACTCATACACCGTTTGAACAAACACAATACACAGACGCACATACTGACAATGGCGACCTATTGCACAACCCTCATGGCCAACATTTAAAAAGTACATTTCATTACATTTCACTACATTTCATTTCATGTGAATGTTAAGAAGCTTAATGGACATAGGTAGGAATGAGTGCTTATAGCGGTTCAGCCTGCTCTTGGGAACCCTGAATCTTCTACCAGAAGGTAGGAGCTGGAATTCTGGGTGGAGTATGTTGGTGGGATCAGACACAATTTGTTGTGCCTGTCTGATAATGGACTGCTCATATATATTTTGGAGAGATGGGTGTTTTTTAACCCCCATAATTTTCATAGCAGTCTGTACCAGGCGAGCGATCTGTGACTTTGACTGCACTGTCAAGTTACCATACCAGGCAGTAATACCATACCTAATGATGCTCTCCAACACTGCATGATAGAACAGTAACATGAACTTCTGGTCGACTCCGAAAGCCGACGTAGAAAGTACAACCGCTGTTGAAGTCTAGAGCACAGACCTTCAACATGCGCCTTCCAGCTGAGTGCTATCTATATGAACACCAAGGTACTTATAGGAGCTGACCTGAGCTATGGGTTCATTGTGGATAACCACCGGCCTAAGGTCAAAATAAAGGTTAAATAAATGTTAACTAGGTAAAATAAGATAGGAATGAACAACAAAAATAAAATATGTTACATTTATTTGTTATTGGCTATGGTAGGTTATTGGTTATGTTCACATACTTATTTGATAATTAAAATGTAAACCGATCATTTTCATTTGGGTGTTTTAGAGTTGTACCCCCTAGATCTAGTCTCTAGTAATTCTGCTCAAAGTGCACCAGATTAAAGCATTTTACTTTAAAATGTTAAAAAACATCTTTCCGGGGGGGCATGCCCCCGGACCCCCCTAGAGGATGTGACTTCCACCCCCCAATTAAAACATGTTCATACAATGCTGAATACATTTGAAACCTTCTTTATGTATATAACCAACATGTCAATACGTTTCAGTTGTTGTAGTGTATTGGTCTTTTGTTGAGATTTTATATTTTATTCATATTGTGTATTGCTTGGAGGGGGGGGGGGGGTTTGGGGCACCAAATCATAATCTTGCCTAGGGCACCAAAATGTCTAGGGCCGGCCCTGTCTGAGAGGGCATTGTTGACCCTGACGTGCTGAGTGCGATTGGTTAAAAATGAAAAATACCATTTCAAGATAAAAGGATTTATACTGATCTTTATCAGTTTTTGAAGCAAGATGTGAGGCTGCAGTGTGTTAAAAGCCGAGCTAAAATCCACAAACAGTAGGCGTACATATGCCTTAGGGTCTTCCAGGTGTTTAGTGACCAGGTGTGTGATACTATTTAGAGCATCGTCTGTGCCACGCCCTTGCTTGTAGGCAAACTGAAAAGGGTCTACTCTAAATATACATCTACCTCTTTCTTTAGCAGCAGCACCATGATCCTCTCAAAACATTTCATGACAATGGATGTCAATGCAATAGGCCTAAAATCATTGTTTACCTTTGGACAAGGTTTTTTGGGGACAGGTTTTATTATAGATTTTTTCCAGAGGGTGGGGATGGTGTGAAGATCAACAGATTTTTGAAATATGGGACACCATGCTGATGTCAGTTCTTCTGCAAATGTTTTGAGAAGGAAAGCAGAGATGCCATCTGGCCCTGTGACCTTCTTAGTACAGGTGTGTTTGAAAAGTGATTGGACCTTTAAAGGGTCAATCAGCACCCTTTCATCCTGGTCAGTAGCAGAGATTGTCTCTAAGATGTCTGTACATTCAGAGGAGAAGTCCTGGGTTTCAAATCTCATGTAAAAGTCATTCAGTTCATTTGCTTTTTGCAGGTCATCAGAGGTACAGATAGTTTTTTTAGCTGGAGTCATATTTGTGATTGCCTTCATAGTGTCCCTTGGAGTATAAAAGTTCTGTAAAATAATTTCCTTAAGTCTCCTTCTAGCTTCTCTAAGCATGTGATTAAGCTCCTTTTGCGTTTTATCCCGGTTTTTAAAAGCTATATTTTTACAATTTATGCAGTCCTTAACCTCTTTCGTTATGTATGGTTTGTTGTTGGGGTACACAGTTATTTCTTTCTGAGGTATCACATTGTCAACACAGAATTGTATATAGTCAGTTACCGTCTCAGTAGCATTATCCACGTCCATCTCATGAAAGATAGACTCAGTAGAGAGAAAACATCCTTTAAGAGACTCGCTGTCACTAGTTCAAACCTTTACAGTCTTGGTCTGTGGTTTACTACGCTTGAGAACCGTTTTGTAGGTAGGTATTAGATTTGAGTTGAGATTAGAGTTGGAAAGCGGGGGTTTGGCTTTACTCACATATGCGTTGTTCACATTTCCGTAACATTTGTCTAGAATGTATAGTTTCAATCAGCTTCCAACGGTTTACTATTCACTGTAACCCAAAGAACCTAAGCTCCTAATTTTCTACTGGGCATTGACCTCAGTTTGATCTGAGCCGGGCAACATCAGTCACACTGACACATCTGCATGCAGGTCTGAGTTTACTAGCAAGAGGTGCACCCAAGGAGACAGAGACGCTATTTTTTACAGATGACATGCCACCCATTTCTGCATCTTTTTTTCGCACATAGCTGCTTTAGACCCTGCAGTTGCTGCAGTCTCGTATTTAAAGAGGCCCTATTATGCTTTTTTGGGTTTTCCCTTGCCTGTACTGTGTTTCTATAGGTTTGTGTGCATTTAAAAGGTCTGCAAAGGCTAAACTCCCAACGTTCCCTCCAGAGGGAGTGTCTCTCACATTGCCCCCACCCCCCCTGCCTGAAACTCCTCTTGGACTCCGTTGTTTACTCCCATAACATAAAGACATCACTATAACCCTTGTGCTTCTATTGGCTAACACTCCAACACGTTGTATGTGAGAGGCTAAGGAGCGGTACATCCCTAAGCGGTTGACCAATCACAACACCCCAGCTAAGGCCTGCACCACTGCTCCTAGTACTAGGATGGGTTAATGTGTGCATGTATGTGTGACAATAAAAGAGGGTTTCATCCTCCGATTCTAATCTAATTCTAATCTAACCAATCAGACGGACTGGGCTCTGGTTTCAGACAGAGGGTGAAAAGAGGCAGTAATAAAGACCTTTTTGAACATTAAAGCATGTAAACATGTCACACAATAATATTATTGTCCTAAAAATAAGCACAATATGTCCCCATTAACAGTGGTGGAAAGTAGGTAACCAAGGGCTCCACCTAGTGATCATTTTCATCAGAGAGAGAGAGAGAGAGAGAGAGAGAGAGAGAGAGAGAGAGAGAGAGAGAGAGAGAGAGAGAGAGAGAGAGAGAGAGAGAGAGAGTGTGTATGAGAGAGAGAGAAAGAGAAAGAGAGAGAGAGAGAGAGAGACTAAATGGTGAAAATAGTGCAGCATTCAGCAGCTAAAGAGAAAATACATTTCGCTTGTCGGGGGAGACCATAACAGAGCTAAAAGAGAGTGAATATCAGACAAATGTGATTTGTAAATAAGAAAGCTAAACATACCAACTTCAAATATATTTGAATGTTGTATTTAAAAAGTGTATCGCTGCTATAAAAAGGATTATAACAGGTTTATCATGGCAATAATACTCTAATTCATTTGTTAATCATGTCTATTGAATGTCAGAAAATAGTAAACGTCCTTGCTTCATTAAAAAACTAAACTACAGTCTTAAAGTGAAAAATATTCAGTTCATTAAATATAAAAGCAGCAAATTATAACATTAATGAAGCTCTAGCTCACCTTTGAGCAGTTGCTCGATTAAGCTTTTACATTTTTGAACTGTAGATAAGCACAATTTACTGGTACTTCTTCTTCACTTCTGTTTTATGCTCATTTAAAATGACGCTCCTCTTCTTTTCATAGTTATATATTCTAATCTCTTAACTCCCTTACATTTATCTGATAAAGTCTGGTTTGTGATTTGATGAAGAAACAACTTATTCATTTCAGTAAATATACCGAATATAAATATATATAATAACATAGAAAATTATTTTAGAGATTTTCGTAAAGTAAGATGTATAATCTTTCTTTTAATCAAGCATTTTAAAAGGTGTTTACTGAAGTCAATAATCATAAATAATACATTTTTGTTTGTTGTGTTGGAAAATGAAACACATGTACAGAAGGCAGAAAGTTGTTTTACATTGAAGGTATTTTTTACACCCTTGTGCAAAAAATAGAATACAAAGAATGTCAGTTCAGTGGTATACCTTGGCATCATATTCCCAAATCACTAAACCCCACAAGTTGTATGTCAATGATAACAATGTTCTTTAATCACTCTTTCTTTTCTCTCTCTCACACACACACACCTGCACAAGTCTGTATGTGCGTCCACACATTGAAACACAGATTTCTTCCCATCAAATGTAGTACAATTGCATATAAAAACATCTTCAAGCAACATTTTCAAAAAGATGTGTTAAAACAGTAGTGCTCAGTTTGGCAGAGTAAACCGAGTGTGTGGGCCCATGCAGATTGAGCCAGTCAGAAGAAAATATATAAACATTTATTCTGCAATACAGACATGGTGTCCCTATTTATCCTATTTTTCATTTCAGCATTGACCCCTCATATACATGTATTTTATCTTCTGCTTTGTGAGGGTTTTTCAATGATAACCTGCTACTTCTGAATGTAAGACATGTTGATCTTTAGATGTATACTACAGTACATGTATTTTGTAGCTTTCAAAACATTTACTAAAATGATGGGAATGGTGTATAAAGATGTGTAATGCTCTAATCAATATATATGTTCTATTCTAACTCTTTAGCTGAAAAAACTATTCCCCAGGTTTGAAACTGAACTTTTTAATATATTTTCTGTCAAATGTCTTTTTTTTGTCTTTCTTTCTACCTTTCTTGAACATTCAAATTAGAAGGAGTATGGGCAACCCCGCAGGGCAGATTTTAAACAGACATATAATTGTGTTCAATATGAAGCCACAGCTGTCATTTCGTCCCTGTAAGTTGAGGAGAGTCGGCTAGTAAGAGCCAACTACAGCGTGAACATTTAGCAACTGCGTGTTTCCATTGCCTTTTCTTTCTAAATGTTTTTTGATTGACAGTGGCCGCTTTTTGATTCTTTTTACAAGGTTTGGTAATTCCATGCAAATAGCAGCTGCAGTCAAAACAAAGCCACCGTCAACCCATCATGATGTTTCAAAGTTAAAACTAAACACCTGACTTTGATTTATTAGTGTTTTCGAAAACATTTGCTGCAGTGCTCGACTTCTTTCACCTTTCGTGCCTGTGAGCAACAACTTAAGGATCAACATAAATGAATAAGACATTCCACGATTATTGCTTCCTCACTTGAGGCTGCATCAAAGCATTTTTATTTACCGCTTACTGAAGGTGTTTGTGAAAGTCATTTTGTAAATGTTGTGAGTGATCCAGAGGCTTAACACTTCAGGCATTTTTCTGAAGCTGAAGTGCCACTTTTCCAACTTATTTGTTGCGGAAAGAGAAATGTCTGAACACTCAATGTACCTGTGTGGGACTAACGTCTCCGCAAAGATGAATTACTTGTCAACATGACCTTTCAGGCTTTGGATTAATTGGTGGTATTTCAAGTCTTTGCACACCGTGTATTTCAAAGATACACTATGACAGCAGCAATTACGCATGTTCAATCAATTCAGAACATCTCCTAGCATAAAAATAAGCAGGAGGAAATCAGAGAATGCAGACCATTGCCAAAAGCCCCATTTTTCAGTGGTAATGAAAGGGAAACAAATGTGTTTATCTCCCAATGAATTACTGCTGGAGGTCACATCCGAACAACATCTGGAATAAGGAATTGAATGTGTCACATGTATATGGATATGAAGGTATTGTGCTTAATAGTCTTATTTTTAGCAGCTTGACATGTTCAACGAGCTACATTATGTACTAATGATCTGCATAGAAAACGTTCTTTCGAAACAGTCTGCTTCTCCTTTTTAATTTGAATAATACATTAAATGCTTCCCAATAAAAAGGAATGGCTTCTTTATTTTCATGTAGGATAATGATGGGTTCTACAACATGTTGGCATATATGATCAATGTGACAAGCTTAAATACAGCTTTTGCTACAAATTACATTTTTTTAGTCTTTGGTGATTTCTAAGGGTGATGTGATGCTTTTGAAATTAGAATAAAGAAGCCTGAGCCTTTCATTAGCAAATGTTACTAATACTTGTGTAAATCAGATGTTCAATTCCACAGCCTTCATCCACTACTCTCTCCTTTCAAACAAAAGAGCGTGTTGCAGTTTCTAATGTGGGTTGTTGACACATAATTACATTTCTGCAGTTAGAGTAGACTGAAAAAAAGATTTGACAATTGCACAGAATATTATCTCCTGTAAATCTAATAGTCACTGTCATTTGGTCATTTAGAAGTACGTTAGAAATTGTCGATACTGGGCAAATAGTAACCGAAATTACGGTTACAAACACTAAACAATAAAATACTGTTGATTATGTACTTCTCTCAGTCTTTTCAGCATTGTGCAATTATCAAAACATTTCCTCATGGGATAATTGATGTGCACATACGCATCAGAAAATCAATGCAGCAGAAAAGAAGGGGATCCAGCTGACTTGATACACCATACGACCAGAATTTGAAGCAGACATGAGACTAGAAGTCACCCTTTTTTTAAATGGAGGGGCTGGGGATACCAGTTCCAGGATAAAGAGATCAATGTACTGCTTTTCTCAGTGGCCAAAGGGAAGTTGTTCTGTATACTACATAAAAGTATACAAATTAAATGCGAAGCACATTTATAGTGGGTAAAATATGTAGCAAGGTAAAAGTATATACAAAAATTAAACAGATTACACTAAATAAATTAAATATGCTTTCATGTGTCCCAATAATGTGCAACATAAACCCAAATCACGCTCACATGACATGCTTACGTCATCTTTTCTTTTTTTTTTTTTATCACAATAGGCTGTGAAAGGCAAAAGGCACCAGATATCCTTCATCATGCCGAACATTACATTTGAGTTCCAGCTGATTCATGTGGGAGATTTAAGATGCCTATATTAAAACAAAGAAAACTGAAAATATACATTGTCATTCACATCATATTTGTGTTTGCAATGTTTGAAATAAAAGGGTGTGTAAAAACAAAAATCGAATTTTTGTTTTTGATAACTGCATGAATTTTTTTCCCTAATTTTCGTGATAAGGTGAAGGGGAAGTTTGATTGGATGCACGATATCAGAAAGAAAAACATTAAATTGTTCAATAATGCATTTCATTTCCCTTTTTTCAATTTGTTTTAATTGGGCCATTTTAAACCTACTATAAGATTGTTAATACTATAATGATTAAAAAATATGAAACAAATTAAAGGTATAATTAGAGGAAAAACATCACCCTAAAACACTGGCCCTCTTTACTCCTTCCATTTTCGACAAATGAAAGTGGTTACACAAAAAACTAGAATATTAAAAGAACAAACCCAATGGAATTAATAGGAATTAATGTTATATAAAAGGTTTGACACATTTCCAAATGGTCGATATTGCATGAATATAAATAAATCGTTATTGGCTCTGTTAGGGATTTAATTTCTTAGCCAAATAATGATTGCGTGACCCAGGTCAGAGATTCTACAGAATACCAATCCTACCCAGTGGGATACCACTGATAAAGGTCTTTGTTGTGCCGGGTCAACACTGCAGTCTGGGCCACACAGGGACAAGTTTATGCTTTATCAAAACACTGATTTGTGTTTAAAGCCATCGTGTACTTTGAAAACTTTAAACAAGGGATTAAAGATGGATAATAAATGTTAAGCAGAATCTGAAGCCTCAAAGCACCACCGTTAATGAAGTGGCCACATTACATTCTTATATAGGAACACAATCAGTGCGTCCAGATTGTAATCAAACAACCATGAGAATTCAAAATGGAGTAAGGAATTCCAACACTCAAACTACAGCGATAAGACACAAATGTGGATAATATGCTTAACTAATTATGTCTGTGTGTGTGTCACTTGGTGCTTCCAGTGCTAAACAGACTAACTCATTGGTTCTTAACTGCATAATATACATTTATCAGGCACTTGTTTTAAGTCATAAAAAAACCAAATAAAATGGACTCTCTTAAATTTGATGGACAGGTCCAATGATTTTATTCTGCTCTCATTCTCCCAGCATTTAAGTACCCTATATATACTCTGAGCCCCTCAACTCCGTTGTGCAATCCACTTCATGCTGTTCATTTCCTAAGGACAAAGAGGGGCACCACTTGGAATTGCTCTCTATTGCTTTGACCTTAGAGATTGGAAGTCCCTCTCCTTATGACAAATAAAAGGCTTTGTGTGTGTGTGGCTGAGTTGATGATCTGTGTGTCAGAAGCTGGACTCGGGGACTGTCCTTTTGCGTCCAAGCGAGGTTGTGCTGTATCGAGTCCTCTGCAGGGTGCCGTACGACGGTTTGTCTGTTGCCAGGTTGCGTGATGGGGCTGTAGACATCCCGTTGCGATGCAGGGAAGCTGTCCTACGCATGCTCTGCTCCGCTTTGATGGGGATGTTGGAGGAGCTCTGGGAGCGCTTGATATCCGTCGTTGTCCGTCCCACCTTCCCGTTTGCCAGCTCATCGCCCCGGTGGCCCGAGCCATTAGACTTGCCTACTTCCGGTTCAGTTCCTCCTCCTGCTGCTGCTCCATTTGACAGCGACGACTTAGACAGCGTCCTTCTGCCTCCTTCCTCACCTGCTCCTCTTCCTGATTCACCCTCCGTTGACTTCCTTGAGTCCCTATCCTTCTTCAGGAAACTGCCTTTAAAGAAGGAGAGCAGTCCTTCATGGTTCCTAGGCACTTCTTCTTTCTTAGTCTTAGAGTTTCCTTCATTTGCACCTTGTTGTTCCCTATCAGCCCTGTCCCCTTTTTGTCTTCTCAGGGTCCCATCCTGAAGGCTAGGAGTGCTGTAGCTGGACTGAACACCAGTACTGGAACTCCTTTTTGTCTCAGTATCCTGGCAAGCTTTGGAGGAGCTTTTCTTCGTGTCATCTTTCCTCCTGGTGAGAGTGTTACTGCTAGAGCTACTGCTGATATGTGTCGTCCTGTCGTCTCTTGGCTGGCTCCCCTTACTGCGTCTCAAGCTGGCTGTCTTATCTGACGGCCTCCTCTGGCCCTCAGGTAGCTTTGTAGACTCACGCGGCAGCCCATCTCCTGCCTTATTTAAACAACTTAAACTTCCAACACTGGAAGATCGAACATTAGCGGAAGCCCGGCCCTCAGAAGCTTCCTTTGCGCTGCGTGGCTCGCTCATCAACGTTGCTATTGGATCTTTTGTGCACCGGGGCCGCCGGCCAGACTCCAAGTACTGTACCAGCTCCACAGGGGCAGTGTCTTGGACAGCCGGGGGCACTGGGTCAGGTTTCCGTCTGTCCTTTGAACCGAAGGACCAGCGCAGGGGGAAAACTTTGCTCAGTGTTTCCCTGGTCTTGCTGGGTGCTCTCATGCTCACACTCCTTCCCTGAAGACCTCTGATAAAAGGCCTGCTATCGAAACCCCCTAACAATTATGAAGAGAGGGGAAATGTTTTAGTTTTTCAATTGAAATGTGACATCTTTAACTAAACCATACAAACTATGTGCAATACCTGTATGTGCAATATGTGCAATATATATATATATATATGCCGTTAAAAACTGTGCAATATATACCTGGCTGCTAAATCCTCAGAACTGTTACAGGATGTGTATTTTGTAAAATGTGTAACTTGTTTTATTATATTTTCTTTAGTACTTTTTTATGCATGCTTACAGTAGGTAACATTAAGCTGTCTTTGGCTCTTTTCTCTTTTTCCCCTCTGTGGGACTAATACAGTTATTCTGATTCTGATTCTAAACAACCAATAAGGTAGTGAACTAATTAGGGCAAATACTGAGTGGAGCTCCTTACCTCTTTCTTCTTTTGAACCGTTTTCAAAGAAGACCGGAGACTCGGGTGAGTCAGGTAAGGAGGATGGGCAGGTGGTGGAGGATCGAGAGACCATACTGCCTCTCTGACTGTCCCCTGTCAGCCGGATCAGCCAGTGGTCTGACATTGATGAACTTGTGGATCCTGTAAGACACACAGAATGAAAAAAAGGGTCAGAGGGAGAACATAAAACATAAACCAGTGACCATCTCGGGATTGTATCACACACAGTCCCAATATAGGGCTTATGACTAAAAGCAGGCAAGCAAATGACCTTTTGATCATCCTTTCACCACTTTCCTATCCCTACACGTCCCCCATCCTTCCTCCACACCTACATTTAAACTCTGCGCTCATTTGGATCTCAACTACACATCTGTACAGTTTTGTGATTGTATCAGGCCCAGTGGCTATTGTAGTAACAAAAACCGTCAACAGACAGACAGTACTTGAGTTCCTCAGTGGTATAGCTGCAGGGGGTTTCTCCAGGACCACATGCTAGATGACACAGGCTGAAACTAACAAGATATAAACAATACCTGCATTGCTGTGGGTTAAGAGTATTCCACCAAGTGAGCATTGCACTACTATATTGTTGGACTCATTTATAAAACATAAACCACCAACAGTTTGTTTGGAGATTTTAATGTGTTCAACTTGTAGCTGTTCATGTAGCCTCAAGCTGCTAACCTTAACCAGAAATGAGGAATAGAGCGATGTGGTAAGCTTATTGTTTTGGAGTCCACACCTACAGGATTCTTTCATTTGCAAAGCTTTGTTTGGAGCCACAACCGGCATTATACAACTTTATTAACACATGCAGCAGCCAAACTCCCTAATAGTGGACACTATACGTTTAATGTGTTATTTAAAGTTAATTGTGTAGTTTACATCCAAGCAGTTCATTCCAAAGGGAACGTTTTGGTTTAAAGTCACAGAAAGTTTGTATCAAACAAAAACTCAGTAAGATATCAACTCTAGATCCATTATTCCGGCAGCGGTGGTGGAGTAATTATTAAAATCCTTTACTTAACTTAATGAAGTAACACCACAATGTCAATACACTCTTTCCTTGTATTACAAGTCTAGGATTCAAAGTAGTTGAGAGAACATACTGGGAAACAGGTTGTTTTCTACCACATATCCACCAACACATATTAAAGCCTTTTAGTAAAAGTTTCGTATTGCCAGAGAGCATTTGTGCTGAAAGTAGAGAGGGTCAGGCTAATTGAGCAGAATGTGCCGTGTTGTTAGCAAACCATGAATCATTGAAATGTAAAACAAAACAATGTTTTTTTTTTCTTTTATTTCTGCCTCCTGCCTTATTACAGTACCATATGTTCTCCAGCTTGTAAAAAGAAAATCGATGGACGGCTGCCATCATTGACATGTTCCAATCCCCTAATGAAGCATATCTGTCTCTCTCCTCCAGATGCAGAGGAAGTCAGGACTAAGCCACAAACCACTATGGGGGGCACTTACAAATATAGTGCAAGATCTAAATGCCAGGGGATGTACAAACACAACATTTGGTGAAGAAACAACAGGTCAACGACTCTTACCTGCAACTCAATTAATCAGTAAAATAAAAAGTATTACACACTGCAACTGTGTTTTTCTATAATCCGATTATATATATTATATTATATCAATAATTTGATTAGCAGACAGTGCCTCATGCTCAGAGGCGGCATTGGCTCAGTCTGTAGGGACATGGTCTTGGAACCGAAGGGTCGCCGGTTCACGTCCCGATCGGACCAAAAATAAATATGGAGTGAGCTGGTAGCTGGAGAGGTGCCAGTTCACCTCCAAGACCACTGCCGAGGTGCCCTTGAGCAAAGCACCTAACCTCAAAACTGGTCTCTTGGCACCGGGTACCTGGCAGCCTCTCTGCTATCTGCATGTGGTTGTGTGTGTGCATGTATATCCTCCCCTGTGTGTGTACAACACAACAGAGTGGGGAAAGACATTTCCCTGTAAGGGATTAATAAAGTATGTCTTCCTCTTCTCCAAACGTACAAAAATAATGCTGTTTTTTCATTAACACAATGTTTATCACCACACAGAGACTTTGACAACAACCTTATATGACATTCTTTGGAGACTAACTTAATTGCTAATATAATATAATTGTTAAGTATTGATTGATTAAGGTGTAATAAATTATTTTGTTATGCGAGTGTCATTTAGCCTAGCTTCAAATTCAAAAAGGACTGATTAGGTTTTTATAAGCTGTTTATTGTGCATGCATGGGCACACTGCAGGACTGAAATAGCCCGATTTAAAAAGATAAAATGCATATTATTGTCAACCTTTTAATGTTTTGTTGTTTGTAGTATATTATAAAGCTAACTATTATGAAGAAATGCAGTTTTCCAGAGTGTCCAGAGAGGAGGAGACTAAACAAACTGTTGTCCATCATGGATAAGAGTACATGTAGGGAGAGTACATTATGTGAAGAGAATATGTGCCCTTTAAATGCAGGAGCTAAAAATAGGGCTCTCTCGGACATGCGCTATATAGTGGAACACAGACAGTTCATAATGATAAAGGTAAAACCTAACAAATAAGACGCCTTCTGACAGTTGTGGTCTCTATATGGGCTTGCCCTCCGCTGAGCAGCCATGGCCGGTTAATAATGTTACAAATCTGCTGACATTTATCATCATGTACTGTCTTACCAGAGAACGAGAAAAAAAAATCCTCCAGACTACCCTAACCTTAAAGATCACCTGAATGTGTCCTCTATATGCTGGCCTGCGTTTTGTCTGATATTTAAGTCATTTCTGAGTGCATTTCTTTGAAGCACAGCACACCACTTCGGCCAGATGCACCGTGCACAAAATGGATTTAAAAACAATTGTAAGTATGCGCTGTAAGGGTTTTATATGTTTGATATGTGCCGTGGTTAAAGTGATTCTTTTTCAATTATCACTGGAATAATTGTTTCGCTATTGGAGTCAAAAATCAATGACTAAAATGTCAGGGCGAAGGGCACCATCTGCCCTGTGGAGCAGAAACCTATACCAGCTACTGAGCTACAAGTATTGTTAAATTGTACAATTTTGTAAGTAGGGTTATATTTTCTTTATGAGGTTAGGTTATATATTTCTTTCAGTCTAAATAATTGCTTTAAACTATGGAGAACACAGTTTACTGCTCCAACTGTGTTCCTTTTAAATGTTCTGTTTTTGAATAATTAATCCACAACAATTTAGTAACTCTTTTTGTTTCCTACAGCTAAACTAAATCCACTAAGTGTTTCACAGAAACAGAGAAATATCAAACCACTAGTCAACACTTTGCAATGTGTGCACTAATCAGTGGGTTTAGCACTGCAGTAAGAAAGCATTGCTAATGAAGATGACCTTCTCACAACCGTTTTTGAATAGCTTCTTCTTTTCTTTGTTGTGCCATGTTAAATGAATATAATTGAAGGTATTTAGAAAAGGACAGACTCATGCTATGCCTGCAAGAAAGCAGTCGTATTGTTAATCGAGCTCAGAATATTGTTGAAAAGTTAATTTTTACAACCATCCAGGATTATTTATATTTCACTAAGTGGTTTTAGTTTAAGAACAAAGCTTGTTTAAACATTTTCTCAAAGCCAATCGAAGACTCCGCTATTTTCCATAGGTCCCGCCTACATTAGTTAAATCTTTACTAGTAGTATTGAGATCTTTTGATAAGAATTGATCAATGTTATTGGGTTAAACAATTATTATTGATAGTCGATTTATCAATTATTAGATTACTTTTTCAAATGCAGCATTCATGAAAGCCCTACTATACGGTATGTGTTGATGGATCACATCTGTGAAGATGTATATTCTTCCAGTCTTCCAGTTCTGAACAGCTTGTTCCTCCTTATGCATAGGAAAAATGCATTTACTGTGCAAACAAAATTGGTGAATGTTTAATCTGCTTATTTATTCTGCATTTTTCATCAGAATCTGTCAGACAGATCTCTTATCTACAACTCTCGGAAAGCTCAGGGATAATATGAGAAGTGTGTGAAGTGAAGACATTAAAGGTCCCCTATTATACTGTTTTTCATCAATATATTATAGGTCTCAGATATATACAAAACATGTCTCTGAAGTGTTTGGCTTTAAATACCAAACAGATCACCCATTAGCATCCCATAAACCCCTCTGTTTCAGCCCTGTTTCAAAAGTGCTGATTCTCTGTATGTTACTTTAGATGAGAATAAGGAGCCACTCCCAACGCCCCTCTGGGGCTAGGAGGAGATTCAGGTGATAAGGTGGGGGGTGTTACCTTGGTTGGTTATTGGCTAATGGTTACACAAGCCAACAAATTGTTATGACATCATAAAGTGGCCAAAATCTGATCAGCTCATTTTCAGACAGGTTTTTATATAAATGGATCAGGACAAAAAGTGAGTGTATCTTTTTTCCTGAAACTTTCAGAATCTCTTTACACAGAGGGGACACATGTTTATGTATAAAAGACATGAACAAGTGGATTTTGCATAATAGGTCCCCCTTAATTAAAACATTTTTCTTCAACTAACAACACAGTTTTTTACTCATTATCTGCTGTTTGCTAGTAGTTTGATGACGTACCTCTGACAGAGCAACTGGCTGACCACGGAGGAATGAGGTTACGTCTCTGGTAGAAAAGAATGTACGCTCCTCTGGTGCAAACCTCTTCCTCAGGCACCAAGTCTACGCTGCTGTCATCGTAGCTGTACCACAGTCCGTCCACTGAGTTCCTACAGTAGGCTGGAAGAGGAAATGACAACAAATATGAACAAAGGGTACCGGAACATACTGTATGTAGCCATTATGACAAAGTGATCGCATCTGGTATCATGTATAATACTTTAAAGAAATTCAAAGGCGGTTTCATCATCAGATTTGTTCAACTCTGCTATTTTGTCAGAAAGAGGCTTAGATATTTGATATCACAATATTCTATATACCTAAGACACAGGAAATGGTCCAATAACCACACACACAACTCATACAGCAGGTGAGACTTCAGAGTGGAACATTGCTGCTGTCTGTTTGTTATCCGTCAACCCGTCAGCCAATAGCAGATGGACACACTATCATTTCTATAGTTCACTTTTATTTCAGTGAGATCATGTATCCCCCCACTGTGTCCGTGATGTTATTGTTCCTCCAACTTCCCTCTCGAGATGCATGCAACTGTCAGGCAAGCTGTCATGGAGACGGCTGCTCCACTGGCTCATGTCCTGCTGTTTCCAATACTTCGAAATCTCTAGCCTCATCACTGTGTGTCTCTCTTCACTATCTACCCCCTTCAGTTACAGAGCATCTTGCCTTTACTGTGTGTCAGGTTCCCATCTTAACAGTCACCTAAAGTGGCCATTGTCAAACACTGAAGAAATGTAAAACTACACTAGAGACGGAAATGACTTTGCCTAAGAATGTGGCCGTGTTTTTTTTTGTAGTCATTGTAATAAATTGTTCTATTATTATTGTAAGTATAGATGTACATTGAATTGAATGGTATAAAGTAACAAAGTGTAATATGAGATAATAAAATATATCACCTAAGGAAAGCAAAGGGTTTGTCTAATAAATGTTATTTTGTCTGAGCATCTTCCACATATTGTACTGTACATTTCACTAATCTAAAAATGTACTCAAGCTTAATATACTATATGTTTGCTCCGCAGTTTATTTCAAGGAGGTCTGCTAACATTTTTCACAGGATCCATGTTAAAGTAATGAAACAGAAAATATACTTGACTTGGTGAGCAAACAGAACAATTGTGAGGGACTGCTTTTCAAGAGCATTTCTTTCAGGCATTTCACTTTTATCTTTGACAGATGACAGTGTAAAATAAAGAGAGAAGGGTAGGGACATGCAATAAAGATCTCAAAACTGGAATCAAACAGGGGTGTTTCAGCTCAAAAAGTTCCAGCAACAGCAGGTGTGGCAGCCCATTCATTATATCTCCTTTTAGGCAGAGATCACATCAATTATTTAGGCATTAGTTTCCCCCGCAGGCTGTCAGAGCTTTTTGGACTCACCTTCACTCCTATTAAAAAAAAAAAATGGCAACCTCCTCCACTGAATACTACCAACGCTTATGGGCAGAAAAAGCCACCTTTAAATGTCCTATAATAACCTATACTTTGTAGAACTCTAGACATATCCACATTCAACTGAAAAAACAAGACCCTTTGAATCAAACCAGCCAGCTCTACATGAAAACAAACAAAAACACTTTAAGCTCAACATTTTCCCCATCAGTCCCCGGCAAATCCGCTCCAGTATGAATCTAAAAAGATCCCTCCCAATCAATCAGATATTACATGATTAGAAATAAAACAAAAGATTTTCAGTTTCTCAGCCCTATCAAAAGCCACAGTTTAATCATAAACATGTACATAGCAGAAACTGAGGATACGCCTAATAGATAATCCACAACACAAACTCCACTTTGGCACCATGCAATTATACACCCATCTGCCACAATCTTGATGTTATAAGTAACAACAACCCCATTTATATCTGAAAGACAAAAATAAAAGAAAACATCCTGTCTTCATCCCCCCATCTGGTCAGGAAGTAAAGAATTTGGGGCCTAAACTTTAATCCTCCATTCAAACAAAATATAACATGATGCACCAACACCAACAATCTTTCACTCTCAACTTCAGGGTTCATTAACATCTTTTAAAACTCCTCTCCAACATGGAGTCAACAAGAGTTATTTTTAATTTAGGCTAAAAACCTTTTATTTATCAATGCTTTTCCAGAGGTCATTAAACAACATTTGTTAGTATACCTTTGCACCTCTTTAAAGGTGGGGTAGGTAAGTTTGAGAAACCGGCTCGAGATACACTTTTTGTTATATTCCATGGAATGCTCTTAACATCCCGATAGCAATGAATATCTTAAGTGCTTTGACAAAAAATCCATAAAAAAATGTCATCTGTGGAAGCCGTAGTACTGTAAAAAGTACGACCAATCATGGATGGCCTACCTGCCTGTCAGCCTTCCATCTGTGCACAAACTTATCTCGTGCCCTCATTGGTCATGTGCGCGTTCGTGTGTGTTGGAGGAGGGGCTCTGTAAGGAAGTGGGAGATTTTTTCCGGCTGTGTATTTTCAAATTCTAGCACACTCAAGCTGGTTTCTCCAAAATTACCTACCCCACCTTTAAGAGTCAGATGTATTTAAATGCTGATTTTTAACTACCTTCATTGTCTTTCATAATTAAAGCACTTTGAATTGCCTTTATGTATAAAATATGCTATGTAAATAAACTAACCTTAAACTAGCCTTAACATAGAATATTATTACAGTCTGAACAAACTGTACCGGTTCTATAAATGAAATTGGAATCAGACCTATCTATCACTCATGATACTGACATCTGGAAAATGTTCAACACTTTCTACAATATGACTAAAAATGCCAACATATTGTACAACTCGTACAGTAGATACTCAACGTTATTTACCTGACAAAAAAGTGTATAAATGGGATTCTCATCAAAACCAATGGTGCACAAACAAATGATTGGATATGCAACATTTGTATTCAATTAGACAAAGACAAAATGGAGGTAAATGTTTTCAGAGCCAGGGGGAGTGTATAAAAGTCAGCACTCCGCTTCAATCGGCAATGTTTAAAACCACGGGCCAGGCAACAAATGTATGTGCAGTCATGTACCTGATTTATGGCAAGTCAGCCTCTATATCAATATATCAGCGACGAAAAATACATTTGTCTCAGAAGGATTTGTGAAGGTCTTTTCACCAGATATTTTTTTTTGCAGATATTAATATAATATAAATGCATTTTCTGTTAACAATACAACTCATAGATGAATTAGATGGCAAAGAAAACCCTTAACAGACTGAGTTACTGCATGGTCAATGATGTATAGCACTAAAATCCCTACCAGTGTAGTGTCCCCCATGCATTCCTCCATGATGGTTACACACAGCGTAGAGGTCGTACAGAGCGTCCTGGGGGAGGGTCAGGTCAGGTTGATGTTGGCCTGAGGACTGCTTCCAAGGAGGAGGCCAGGCCCCCAAGTTCAGGTTCTTCATACTCTGACTCCTCTTCACCACATGGGGGGCCATGTCCAAACCAGTGAGGGGGAAACGCACCAGGGTGGACAGCTTGTTCCTCCGCTCGCCTACCTGTTCCAACAATACATATAGAGTATGTGTATGTGCAGGCATGACAAATAAAACACTGTTTATTGTGATAACCCAAGAACAGCAGATTTAACAATTATCCCAGTATTAATTAAAAAGCTGTCAAATTAATTAAGCAGGATATAAAAAAATAAATGCTTAATTTAAGACTCTAATTAAAATGACACAGTGATGAATCACATTTGCATGGGGAAGAAAAACTAGAGGAGTTTATAGTAACCTTCTAGCACGTATATGTCCTTTGGACTACTACCCAATCAGTGATGTTGCAGCAATTGCATTAAACAAAGATTTTTTTTAAATCAGCTTGAGACTTTTTGCACTTCTGGGTGTGATTACTACAAATAAGACAGAGATTTGAAGCCACTGAAGCCCCTGAAACCTGAAATGAAGTGAACTGTCTAAACACTCAAGAGTCCTTTACCTCACTGAGCCTCTCAGTCTGACAGGAGAGAGTTCTCCTCCACCCTTGTTGTAGAAACATCTTCTTCATATATCCGTTAACGCAGCTAGCACCAGATGCTAATAACAACAGCGCTGGTACCGGTGCAACCTCTCTCTCTCCCTCGCTCGCTCCCACGCTCACTCGCACTTTGGCTGTGAGCTGCGGGCGCCTGATAAGCCAACATCCCCCACTTTCATCACTTACAGCGCCCATCGTACAGGGCAAATGAAAAGTGTAACCGGGGAGAAAAGGGTGTTACATTTACTTAATTATGAATGTTGTTACATCAAGGCCGAAAATTAGGATGAGCACCAACGGTCAAAAATGTTTTTTTCCCTCCCAGAGCTACCAGCGCAGCGCCCCCCAGATCTGGCGCCCCCCCCAGATCTGGCGCCCTAGAGGACCGCCTATGCCAAAAACCGGCCCTGGTCTCAAAATGTAGCAAAATACACTTTTATTGAACATACAGTAACACAAATACTACAAATCCACATAACAAACAATCAAAAATCAAAAAGGGTCGCCACTTATTATTATGTAATTAAAAACAAATATATATATATATATATATATATATATTCTTTTTTTTTGGTACCTGGCTGGCGCCCCCTAGCAGCGGCACGCCTATTTCTATATAGGGGAAACACTGAATATACTGTAGAAGAGAGTATACTATTATACAGGATGAATAATTTATGATATGGCCTTGCTGTAAATGTCTCATTGAAATTGGCTGACTTAAAATGTCGACAGAGGTGGCAAAGCGTCAGCAGGATGTCAGCAGAAGCCTTCGTCAGACACGGGAGTTGTAAAAGTGAATTATATGACTTACACATCCCCTTTTAACACCAAACCTCAGGTTAAGCACTTCCCATAATGCAATTCAATAGAGACTTCATTAAAAGCTCCCTTTCTCCTAAATGTCGACCTCTTTCAAGCCCTTTTAGACTCTGTAGGATACACCCTGTGGCGACCAACGTTTTTTCAGGTCCTTCTTGACAATGAGATTGTGACGCTCAAGGAGATGTAACAGAATGCGACCAGACCAGCAAATCAGTTTAATTGCTTTGTTTTCTGTTGATACTTCCCCAACTGTCTGCTTGCAACACAACTTGCTTCAAATAATATGTATTTTTTAGGTCTAAAGAGTCGCTCAAACAAAACAGATCACAGGGTACTAAGCAGATCGAACCTCTGATGCCAGTATCAGACTAACAACAACTGGTGCTCAGATGTGAAGATTATTTCATCGGACTGTTCCGCACAGCTAGAGCACCTCATGATCTCATGTCGGGCCTTCCATCTGCCGAGGGAATTCACATCTGTTGTGATAACAGCAGTGTATATCCCGCCGCAGCCACTCGCCGACAACAACACGGCACTCGATCAGCTGTTTGGGTTTATTGATAAAACCGAGACTTCACGGCCAGATGCGGCGTTCGTTGTGGCCGGAGATTTCAACACCGCCAACATGAAGAAGGTTTTGCCAAAATATTACCAACACATCAACTTCCCGACGCGCGGGGGAAACATACTGGACCATGTTTATTCCCCTTTCCGGAATGGATATAAGGCTCTCCCTCGCCCTCCCTTCGGCAAATCAGACCATATCTCACTACTGTTGTTGCCTGCTTACAAGCAGAAACTTAAAAGGGACAGACCGATAACAAGGACAGTACAGCGATGGAGCGAGGAGTCAGATTCAGCACTGCAGGATTGCTTTGCATCTACGGATTGGAGTGTGTTTGAGGACAATAACATCAACACACACACGGACACTGTCATCTGCTACATTGGGAAATGCATCGATGACGTGGTACCGAAGGTTTCTGTACGGACATTCCCAAATCAAAAGCCCTGGGTAAACGGTGAGGTGCGCGGCAAACTGAAAGCGCGCACTCTCGCGCACACAGCGGGAGATTTGGAGGAGTACAGGAAGTCTAGGTATGATCTCCGGAGAGCAATAAAAAATGCAAAGAGACAGTACAAAGAGAAGGTGGAATCTGACTTCAAAGGCTGTAACACTAGGAATATGTGGGCGGGACTAAGGACAATGACTGACTACAAAGGAGCAGCGGGGGGTGCTGCGGGAGTGTCTGCGTGCGCATCTCTCCCAGATGAGCTAAACAGTTTTTTTGCACGCTTTGAGAGCAGCCAGGCTGTGGAGGTACAGAGGGACCAGGAGCTACACTGCCCTTTTGTTTTAAATAGGGCAGATGTGTGTAAATCCTTTAAAAGGGTTAACCCACACAAGGCTCCTGGACCTGATGGCATCCCTGGCCGTGTTCTCAGGGTGTGTGCAGTTCAGCTGGCAGAGGTGTTCACAGACATCTTCAACAGGTCCCTGCTGCAGTCTGTAGTCCCCACATGTCTTAAACACTCCACCATCATTCCTGTCCCCAAAAAGACAATCATCACCTGCCCCAACGACTACCGCCCAGTAGCACTCACCTCCATCATAATGAAGTGCTTTGAGCGGTTAGTCAAATTATTCATCACCTCCTCCCTCCCTGAATCTCTGGACCCCCTGCAGTTTGCCTACAGAGCAAACAGGTCCACAGACGACGCCATAGCCCTCACCCTCCACACTGCCCTCTCACACCTGGACCCGAAGAACAGGAACACATATGTGAGAATGCTGTTCATTGACTACAGTTCAGCATTCAACACCATTGTGCCCTCCAAGCTGGCCATCAAGCTCAGAGACCTCGGGCTCAACAGCGCCCTCTGCGACTGGATCCTGAACTTCCTGACGGGCAGACCCCAGGCAGTGCGGGTGGGAAACATCACATCCTCCACCCTGATTCTTAACACCGGTGCCCCTCAAGGCTGCGTGCTCAGCCCTCTCCTCTACTCCCTGTTCACCCACGACTGCGTGGCCACACACAGCTCCAACACCATCGTGAAGTTTGCTGATGACACGACCGTCATCGGCCAGATCACAGACGATGACGAGACGGCATACAGAGAGGAGGTCGAAAACCTGACATCTTGGTGCCAGGAGAACAACCTCCATCTCAACATCAGCAAAACAAAGGAGCTGATTGTGGATTACAGGAAGCAGCAGGGAGAGGGACACGCCCCCATCGCCATCAATGGGACTACGGTGGAAAGAGTCAAAAGCTTCAGGTTCCTTGGGGTCCACATCACTGAGGACCTGACATGGTCTCTTCACACCACCACCATCACCAAGAAAGCTCGACAGCGGCTCTTCTTCCTCCGCAGGCTGAGGAGGTTCAAAATGGATTCCAGGATACTCTGCAACTTCTACAGGTGCACGATAGAGAGTATCCTCACTGGCAGCATGACGGCCTGGTACGGCAGCTGCACCGACCTCGATCGTAAGGCTTTACAGAGGGTGGTGAAAACTGCACAGCACATCACCAGGACGGAGCTGCCATCCATGGAGGACCTTTACTCCCAGCGGCTCAGGAAGAAATCACTACGGATTATCAAAGACCCCCCATCACCCCAGCCACAAACTGTTCTTTCTGTTGCCGTCTGGCAGACGTTACCCGCAGCATCCGGGCAAGGACAAGAAGATTCGGAGACAGTTTCTTCCCGCGGGCAGTGAGACTGTTAAACAATTGAACTGTTGAAACAACATCAAACATTCAACTGCTACTCAGTAGTATGTATCTAATACCTAATATATATATATCATTCCAATAACTTGTATATAGACTCATACTGCACTATTCCACATCATAACTTTATTTCATTTTTATAACTATTACTATTTTTGTATTGCTCTTGCTCTTATTGTTATTATGTTATGTTATTATGTTGCATTGTTGGAGAAGCCTGTGACATAAGATTTTCAACTGCATAATTACTCTGTAGCTATGTCAGATTGACAATAAAGAACCTTGAACCTTGAACCTTGAACCTTGAATCAGTGGATGTTGCTCATGTCAGGTGTGTGCAGCTATGGGAAAACTAGAATCTCATGTGCCAGATGCTTTGTTACACAGAACGATCTGGGAAGCTGGGAAGTTGGGAAATGTTTGGAAAAAGGACCAGCAGTTCTGAAAAAGGCTTCAGTCTGCTGTCGAGCTGATAGGTATATGGTTTGTTTACTCAGTGGCTGTTTCACTTTCTTTGGCCAAGTTCTCCTTCGTCATTATGCTTTTTTGCAAATCTCTCATTCAGCATGACTCAACATTACATTTCCTAGTATTTAATAATACTGATAAAGAAATGCAGGGCAGACACCCGCCGTGTTGCTGGGCAATCAGAGATATCTACATGTAACATAAAATGAGGAAAAGCTTTTATAGGACATGTTATGAAGATATGTTGATGTAGCAGGCGGGTGTCCCATAAATAGAAACATAAAAAAACATGAGACGGTATGGTTCAATGTTTGGAAATGTACCTATTGTGTTTCTATGGGAGGCTGGAGAGAGGATTTGCAGTCAAATATGTAGACAAAATGTAATACTAACTGAGCGACAGCTTGCCTTGCAATATCAATACTACTTAACTGTCTTTCATGCATCTTACTTTTATAACTCTAACACTTATCTAACCCCTCCCTGATATCCTCTCCGTCAGTCACAGCCTGTATCTGTACTACTTTCAGAATATTGGATGTAACAATTACCAGGAGAACGTTTTCTTTAATTACGTTAGCTTTTGAATTGATTCAATTGTTAATCATTCTGTTACTTCCTCTCTTCACAGAAAGCAAAGTCACAGCAAAACCCAATTATACAGAAACAAATTACAACTCTAATAAGCCAAACACTCTAAAAACGGCATAAACACCTGAGGGGAACTTAGAGGCAGCTGAACAAGCTGCCAACACAATATTGATGTATTATTATCATATTAAGGTGTTCAGGGAAATGTGTTTACAAACAATTACGTTCACATATATCCACCGATCCCAGAAAACATTAGCATTCAGTGTTTGTTTTTTCTCTTAGCCAAGTGATAAATGTTTGCTATTCTATTAGCTCTTTTGTGTTCTACACCACAAGGGAAATATCTGGCGAGCAAGCTGATAAAAGTAACAATAACTGGTAGCTAAGGTTGTTAGATGTTTGATGCTGGTGAGACACTGCAAAGCGAAATTTTTGGTTTTCTTTGTGCTGAAAATAAGTTGAACCGAAACGGTGAGGGGGAACTGCAGTTCATGGTTCTCTCGGGGTTTGTCCATTAGAGTGTCCCTTTTCACAGTGAACAGTAATTTAATCAATTGTTAATTGATATTATGTCAATAGGATCAACTTCAAGGCTTACATTATTAAATTCAAGCTGAACTCTTTCTTTCCTGTCAACTGTTTTCCCCACTTTAAGGCTCACATACCTGTCGAAAGCGCTTGAGGTGGAGGATCAGTATGTCAGGAAGAGTCCAGAGGCTCATCTTCACCATGCCCTGCTGAAGCTGCTTACAGTGGGGACACTTCCAGGCGTCATCCGGGGCAAGCTGTCAACACATCAATCAACAACATGGTTATACATAATACATCATTTGCTAAGTGTAAGATGTTCTTTATCTGTGGTCATTTCCTTTAATCATTTTCCCTTACATGGAAGCAGGGGTTATATATTGATTAAACTCTGCTAGGTTCAAATCCATGTCTTTTTTCAAGTAATGAGTGCCTGAAAATGTTCACTTTCCGATCGTTGTGTGAATGAAGTGTGTTCTATTATAAACTTCAAGTGGACGTGGTCACTGTGACATGACCCTTGAGTATGTTGACTACTGTTTTGAAGCCTTGAGTTGGGCACGTCACAATCTTGGTTTTTGGTCCTCTTTGCAGGGATATTTTCTCTTCGACTTCTATACAAAATGACTTATTTTTGCAACCTGTGAAGTTGCATTGTGGCTTTCAGAGAGAGTGTAAGGTTATGCGTAGGGCTCACAGACCCGGATGTTCTGCTGGGTTCTGCTTCACCATATATGAAGGCATCACAAATCATCTTTTAGATATGCACTACACAGTTGTGCATGCATGAGAGAAAGAAAAAAAAGGATACTCCAGTCCCCTTGATTGTGAACTTTTTTTCTGATGAGATCCACAGAGATTGACCTGGCGGCTATACTGTAGGCGTCATCAGCATTGTGGGAACTTGTTTGGCAAGGGCTTATTATGTAAAGGAAGCTCATTTATATGTACAGTAGACACTACAGCTTTGACCTAAGATATTGTTGAACAGCTGTCAAGAATTCAAGGATGCTTCCAAGTACTTTGAGCACTATGCGCAATAAAAATATAAATGACTGGCTTTTGTTCGCAGAGCTCAATGCCACACTTTGCAGCAATAGTGGGGTTTGCAATAATGCTCATAAAAGAAAAAACTCACTTAAGAAACAACATTACATTAGAAAATATTTCATTCACACAATGCCAACCACGTATCCCAACAACGTATCTCAACAAAACGTGCTTTTTGTCTTTCTTACCACTACTTTGATGAAGAGATAGATAACCCTCTCAGGTCTGAATGGGGAAGCTATTTGGCAGTTTCCATTCTGCAAAGCCAAGCTAACAAGCTTCTGGTAGCTTCATAATCACAGCAAGAATGGTAACGATTTTGTCATCTAACTCTCAGCAGCAGTTCAAGACTGTGGCCTTTATCGTTGATTATAGTAACTGCAGAGCTTTTTCCTCTTGTGAATAGCAAGGATTTGATTGACGTAAATGAAACCGGATGCAAGACGAAAAGCAATTTTCTGCAATTTTGAAAAGCGACTGGGTTCAACCAAACACACAATGCATAATTCTGCGGGTTTGGATGCTTGCTGGTTTTAAGACAGTTCTCCTGAAGCTCAGTCATCAGTGCAAAAAATGGAAAAATAATGATCCTGCTGAGATTCCATTTCAGAAGTAGAATAAAAAGAACATCCCAATATGTTTTAAATATATTACATCCTACTTGCAAACTGACACAGACATATCATTTCACTAAATCAACCTGGAGGAGGGATGTCATTTATCAAATCCGTCAGCAAAGCCTCATTCTTTTCTAAGGCTCATTTTTCTTCCAAATCATATAATAAAAATGATAGATTCTTTCCACAGTGCTATGTTTTTTACAGTGCCGCTCCCATTACTGTTTTCACAAACTTAATAAATACTTAGAAATAGTTAGTAAATTCTCTACAGTTAGAATTAAGTCTTGGCTTACATAACAATGTATGTAATAAGTAAGTAGCAGCTGTTCTTAAGATCTCCGTCTATGCTTTTTTGCAACTGTTACTTACTGCCCTGTACTCTAAACCGGCTCATTTCAGTCAGTCATTTGTGACGTTTTTCAGTCCTCAAACTCACTGTGAGCAGCTGTGAGTAAACACTGTAGCCGACACAAAGCTAATGTGATGTTGCTCCATGTCCTGTTCTTCTTCTTCAAGGTGGGCGGCTGCTAATCTCTTATCCTCAAAGGCAATATTGTCCCTTTTTTCCAACTTGATCTTTTGTTTATATTGGGTGCTCTATAATAAATCTTGTCTGTTATATCCTGATATGTTATTTTATAGTTTTCCTATTACCAAAAACATGTTATCTTGTGAACCTCAAACACTACTTTAATTAGTTTACTCTAGGCATGATTAATTAATGGAATCTGAGCTGTGATTGTGATAAATGTAGGGTTTATTGGTAAAAATAACGAGCTTTTTACATTTTACAATGTCAAAATTACGTTTCTCACTTAAATGACTCCCTACTCATCAAATTGGATACAGTATAAAATGCAAGAATATTGGGAAAATATAATAACATTCATTAATTCAGTTTTTTAAGCAAACTCAATTGCAAATTTGTTATTTCCTTGATCTTTCGGTCAAAAAGAATAATATAAGACGTTCTTCAAGGCGTTGTGAATAAACGTGGACTTATGTATTTTCCATTGCGATCAGTTTCTCAGAGATTAGATTCCTTTAGTGTTCATCTACTTCACTTACAGACAAAGTTCTTGGAAAAATGGGGAGGCATGAAGGACTTGCATGAACTTCCAAAGGGTTTACTTCATTGCTAAAGGACTGCTGTAGGTTGTTATCCCATACCTCTTCCCTAAAAAGGAAATACAACTCTGAAATGATATATTTTCAGCTTTTGGCAACTGCATTTATTTGTATTGTACTTTTCCATTTTATGTAATAATTTCTTGACTTTATGTTTTATGTATTTTCTCTTACTTTGTAATACATCATTTGTTTACTGCAATGCACCACAACAACACATAATACTTGACAATACACCAGAACCTCAGTTAGAATGGGCTCCAGAAACACTAACACCCCCACACTGCACCATAATACGTAGCTTTTAGAGCAATATCTGTCCATTTGTGGCCATCTCAATTTGACCCCCCATTCACTCTGGCTGAGAATAGGAATTATCTACTGGGGTAAGTGTGTGGGGAAAGCACAGAGACTGGGATGCTTCATATGGAAACTGAAAAGGTCGCTGTCAATCACAGGAGGGCAGAATACTGTTAACTATAGCTGGTACATTTTACTATTAATGCCTTGTATAGTCATGTATGTTCACAGTGCGCAGGTGAGGTTAACTCCAGGGTGTAAAATATGTTCTCAGTTTGTTTTATTATAATGGTGATGGGTATTATAGTTGCAATGGAATGACATTTAATGTAATCGTATTTTAACAAGGGTGTAATTTCTTACCTATTACACCAATTTAGCACTGCAACCTTTCATTATTGTTAGACTAACAGAACAATTTATATCATTTTTCATAATATTTCTTCAGCTAAAACCTGTCGCTTGCATTAGCACACAATGCAATTTAATTAATGATGGTTAAGTTGGGAAATTGGGTGGGCTAAGTTCCCCTTGAAATCCAGCAGGTTTCTCAGGATTATTTTAGTTTTAAAGTTATGGAAAAAAAATCTCCATACCAACATGCAAAAAAGATGATGAAAAACAGAAAATGAAGAACAGTCGTAGTTTCACCTGTTCTTCTTTGGTGTACAGCTGGAAGCACTCGTCTAAAGTGCAGCTGTGCTGCTGCAGGTGCTGCTGCTTCTGGTTCCTCACACTCTCTGCATCCTTCACCACCTCTTCCTGGATGCTGCCAAAGAGACTGAAACACACACACACACACACACACACACACACACACACACACACACACACACACACACACACACACACACACACACATACACACACACACACACACACACACACACACACACACACACACACACACACACACACACACACCACACACACACACACACACACACACACACACACGTAAAGTAACTGTATTTCCTCTCAGTAAAGGAACGTGGACTGAAATGTAATACCAAGGGGCGGCATTACTTCACTAAAAGCCTAATGTTTTCTAAAAGTGATCAAAAATATTATATAATGTATTTTTGTATCGAATTTTCTTTTTGTGATCTGTAACATGATTACGATAATTTATTTCTTCAGGTTCATGGTATCTTGCAGAACAATTCCACACATTTACAGATATATCTGGGAATAAGAGAATCCCACAAGCTGAACAAGACAACAGTTAAATAAAACTGGTCAAAATGAATTTCTTCGGATAAATATAAAGTTATCTATTGTTATTTATCGATCTAACCAGGTGAGTAAGCCTATTCATGTGTAAGCCTATACCTTTACAGACCTTTGCTTAGCAAATGCATAAATACACTGAACTATGAGTCATACACACCTCTAGTTACTATCAGTGGCATACTCACTCAGCCCTAGGGTCAATCTCATCATGTTCACATAAGTGGCGAGGGATGTTTAATGACTTCAGAGATCATTTCAAAATGTTTTAATATCCGTAAAAGCCTTTATGTTCAGCGTTGTGAATTGAATGCCTTGAATACTTTTTAAGGATCTGCAGAAACTCTGGTATACTCTACTAGACGGTGAAATGTTTGTCCAGAACGCTTACCATTCTTTGATCTTGTTCTCCCACTCTATGACAACCTTAACATGGGGTGGTCCTCCGGGGCCGCAGAACTTCAGAGCTCTACAAGACAGCAAGAAAATGAAGTTTTCAAAACACACCTTATGATCCTAGTATTGTCAGTGTTAGTAGAACAATTCTGCCTCATCTTTAAAAGCCTGAATCCACAAACCTGTGGGAGGCGGAAACCTTATGTCACTCAGTGAGACTTTCTATGAATGTTTGATTTTGCTTTTTATTTCATTTCACCTTGACAAGCCGACAGACATGCACAAGTTTACAGATTGTCAACGGAGCGATTACACGGGGTGATCGCCTGCAGGTGAGACATGGCTTGATATAATTTATTTATATGTAAAGCTGTTGTGAGCCATTACATAGCCAAAACAGTGTCATGTTGGTTTTGCAGAGCTTTCCTTCACTGCTTTGATCTCAGCTGGACAGACTCAATCTGACTCAGCTGCCACACAGCGCCAAGGTAGATTTAACAATAGCTCAGGCACACAATATTTGTTTTTTCCTAGGAACAAGACGGATTGCTGATGGCAAATGATATGAAGTCTTGACAACATGTGATTCATTTTGATTTAGTAAAGAACCTGCATTCAGAAAAGAGACAGTCTGCAGATTTCCAGCAGGGCCTGAATAATGAATCATTCTCAGTGAGAGTAGTTTTTCTCTAACTGAGGTAGAGTTCATGTTGTTCTCTTATTATTGTTTACTGTGTATGTTGATTGCATAAACGTGTCTGTAGAGATTGTAACCGGTAGATGTCAGGCTTATGTAACATGGCCAAGCATTCCAGAAATGTAAAATAACTCAATAACAAATAACAACCTATTGACCTATAACATGTTTATCTCTCTAGGCTTGTGATTGTACTTGAGTTTGGCATGAGTGGTATAATAAAAACTGCCTCTGGATGAATTGGAAATCGTTTTTTTAGTGCTGTAATATTTGCTACAAAATGCAGGACAAAACATCAGTGTTCCCTATTCAATGACTCATGCAGTTGTCATGGTGCTATGTGGCTTTGGGAATTTCAAGAAAACTAAAGCAGTAATTAGTGGAATTGAATGCGCTTTGAAATGTGTGTATTTGTTCTGTGACAAAGGAGTGGAACATACAGTCAATAAAAAGGCAAGTAACACAGACACAAACTATGAAGGCAGAAATGTGCTACTTGAACAAGTGTGGACTTTAACAATGTTTATCATAACTTATACCAATTTATATCAGAATAATTTAATTGCCAATAAATAACATGACCATTAAATGATGGGTCAGTCATTTAATTAAAAAACTTTTTTCAAAGAACTTCTAAGTTATTCCATAATAAGTTGTCTGCCTATCAGGCTCCATCTAAACATTCATTATTCCTGATTCAACCTTTCCACTTCATCCCTTTAATTGGAACACAGCTCTGTTTGAGCAGGGTGCCACATAGAAATGAAATGAAACTCATGTCACAGAGCAGCAGCAGCAGAAGCTTTGATTAGCAGAGAGCTGCCAACACACAGCAGCACACTAATTAACTACTAAATTATACACATATTTTAGTGACACATTACTACTACAGAACAACAACATGCACACAAACAACAATTACCTGGTAGCAAGGTGATTATACAGTAATATTACCAGGGCCGAAAAATAAAATATATATATAACTTATAATGGGACAGATTCTCGATATTCAGCCACAATCTTCAGGCTTGTGCAAGATTGACAAGCACATCTTATCATATTTATGCCTGGTTCTTGTGCTCTGGGCAGCTGTATTTCCATAGAAACATGTTCTGAATGAAATCACATCACAGCCAGGGGTGTAGATTTCCATACATTTTAAAAAGCATTTAGAGCTGAAAACCAAATAACATTCACAACTATTTCATTGGGAGAAGCTGGCAGAAGAAGTGGTGGGGATCCGAAAACATTGGCACATTGTTTCTAAACCATGCAGCATTTGAAACGACTGATATATGGGACAATATATTTCTGGGATTTGTAAGAACTGACCCCTTAACTCGTTAAATATTTAAAAAGTTGATAAATAAATAAATAATTTCTCTAAATGAGGGATCAACGTGTGAAAAAATGTGGATCGTGCCTAGGATAGTTTTTAATTCAAGTTGAACAGCGTTTATATACAGATCTGTTGTGTTTTAGGGACAGACACTGCAAGTTCTCTTAAGCTATAAATGATTGGGTTCATGTTACATACTTGTGCCAATACTAAACACACATACACCTTCAACAAATAAATCTAAATCAGCTAAAGCCTTGAGCATCACAGTAATCCCCCTCCATTGCGTTTTGATTTGTTATTGGTCAGTTATTTTGATATTGATTCTATCCACAGGTGTTGTGTGATAAAGAGAGCAAAATCCCATTTGAAAGTTGTGCAAAGCAGAGCGAGCAGACAATAAACGCACACAAAGGAAAACACGCCACACAGAGATAAATGCATGAATCGTAATACACACCTATAGAATGACTAATCTGGATGATAATCTCATTTCCTAACTCCTTTTTGAAAGGCCTGACCTTCACTGCTGTTCAATACAACAGCAGAGATTTGTTCTAAGACCCTCAGCTGCATGCTCTTAATCACAGAAGAAATAAAGGCCCCACACTGGGTAATGATGCGGTCCTTGTAATCCTCTTAAAGGTGTAATGTGTGGGTGCCTGGCAACAGGCTCCAAACTAACATACTTTAATACTTAGCAGATGTGGAAGAAGTACTTAGATCTTGTACTTAAATACAAGTAGATGTACCAGAGTGTAGCAGTACTCTGTAACAAGTAAAAGTCCTGCAATTAAAAATGTTACTTAAATAAAAGTAGAAAGGTATTAGCATCAAAATATACTAAAAGTAAAAGTACTAATTTTGCAGAAGGGCCAAGTTCAGTATTATATAAATGACATGTTTTGATTTTGATGCATTAAAGTTTTATCAAAGCTGGTTAAGGTTAATAACTTAGTATGCTGCAGGGTAGCTTGTGAATGTTACTCCAGATTTGACTTAAGTCTTATTTAAAGGTGGGGTAGGTAAGTTTGAGAAACCGGCTCGAGATACACTTTTTGTTATATTCCATGGAATGCTCTTAACATCCCGATAGCAATGAATATCTTAAGTGCTTTGACAAAAAATCCATAAAGAAACGTCATCTGTGGAAGCTGTAGTACTGTAAAAAGTACGACCAATCATTTTAGCCGGCCCGGCTAAAATAACTGGATGGCCTACCTGCCTGTCAGCCTTCCATCTGTGCACAAACTTATCTTGTGCCCTCATTGGTCATGTGCGCGTTCGTGTGTGTTGGAGGAGGGGCTCTGTAAGGAAGTGGCAGATTTTCTCCGGTTGTGTATTTTCAAATTCGAGCGCACTCAAGCTGGTTTCTCCAAAATTACCTACCCCACCTTTAAGTGTTTATGTATATTACCAAACAAAATCTGCAAAGTAACTAGGTATTAAATCAGTGTATTTAACTCTGAGTTATAGTGGAGTAGAAGTACAAAGTAACAAAAACATTTAAATACTCAAGTAAAGTACAATTAAATACAGTACTTGAGTAAATGTACTTAGTTACTTTACACCACTGATGTTTAGTTTATTAGATTAAATTCAAAGTGGCACTGCCCCTCCCAACATTACTTCCCTATTTCCAAACTCTCAAACCATTGAACATTTTTTATTTAATTTCCCCAACTGGTTTAGTCTCAAAGAGAACTACAAGTTCTGCAATATGGCACCAGGGTTTAAAGATGCCACAACAAGTGAGCGGGAAAACTAAGTTGACTGCTGTCACTACACTCAGTCTCATAATGTTCCGGCTGCTGAGTCAAATGTGGTATAACAATCTGGTGTCTGGTTTTATATAAAATCAGTTTGATTGACCCAAATCTCCTGGCAGCTGTCACGACAAAACTGAAATAAATCCTGTTCTTCTGATTTGGATGTATTCCATTAAACAACCTTGCGAATCATAGGACAGCGACTCCGTCCATGATTGACAAGTCCTCGGGGCAGCTCTACCTCTCTATGCTAGACCCTACAGTGACTCACCATATTCTCTGAAGGAAAAACTGGTATCACGATACAGGACAGGCAGGAAATATCTCTGCAGAACATCTTTGACTAAACAAGGAAACCTCTCCACATTCAGTTGATTATTTTCTGACTGATTCTGACCAAGTTACACATTGCACCTTAAAGGTGTATTTGTTTCTGAAATAATTTGTGGCTTTTTGCCCAATGCAATAGAAAATAGGTCTGTTATGTGTTCAAATATCAGCTAATGTAGTAATTTCCATCAAGCCTATAGTCTTGATAGGCTGATATGATTATATTTATGATCAAGAGTCATTCAATCGATCAACTTGACATGGTCGTTGAAATAGCCTTTAAAGCTTTTTTTGTGGGATCATTGCATCTTTGTATCACAGTTGTACCACAAGATGTGTGTGTGTCTGTGCTTGTGTGTGTGCACTGTATAATGTGCTGTGCATCTGGTATAATGTATGCATGCAGGGACTGTATATTTATGTCAGCATAAATGTGCTATCGGCCATACAAAGAAGAAACAGTGTATAGTACTTAGGTACAGTAGGTTTTTCTTTGTGAGAGTCTACAATTTGGTGTGTGTGTGTGTGTGTGTGTGTGTGTGTGTGTGTGTGTGTGTGTGTGTGTGTGTGTGTGTGTGTGTGTGTGTGTGTGTGTGTGTGTGTGTGTGTGTGTGTGTGTGTGTGTGTGTGTGTGTGTCCTACCTGTCAACAGCAGTGTGGTACAGTGGCCTGCTGTCCTGCGGGGACAGGTAGCTGTAGTTTGACGATCCTCCAACTACTCTAATCTTGAACAGCATGCCAGCATTCTGCAAAGGATGAAAACACTCATTAGTACAGCTAGGTCCTGAACTTGCTCAAGCTTAATAATTTAAAATGAAAGAAATCCTGTAAGAGAAATTTCTGCAATTGGACTGCATATTCAAGTGCTGTCTAGACAAAACCCTTCTCTGATTTGGGGCTGAAACCTAGGATATCAACATAACATAACCACCACAGTTAAAGCATACAACCTCCCTCATTTATATCTGAAGGCTAGTCATGCCGGGACCTCGCTGGAATAGAGAAAATGCATTTGCAGATGAACTTTAAATCCACTGATGCCTGAGCAGCAGAGACAAGAAGGCAGAGCTATTAGGGAGCAGGGAGCAAAACTGGGTTGCTAATGTTTTCATTCTAAGCCTGCCAACGTTGGAGAATAGGAAGTGTAGCCTAGCATAAAATAAACAAATTGGTTGGTTAATAGGAGCCTAACGCAGCATATTAAAAAAGCCATATTCTCTATTTTCAGTTTTAGAGGGCAGAGCGAGTATAGATTGTCTATCTATTGGACTTTAATGAAGAAGAGCAGACACTTCATGCTAATGAGCAATCATACTGATACAATGTGGAGAGTTAAGGATTCGTGATCTGTCTTAAAGGAGAGCTGATAACTGAAGAGATTAATTTAAGTGATTCGGGGACTTGACATTAAAGCAAGGGGCTCTTTATGAGCACCTGATTATCTCAGCTGCCCAACACATAGCGAGTTGATTATAAGATCGAGTGTTAACTTAAAGGAAGGCAGGGGTCATTTACTGTAAGGAATCAGTGCTAGTTAGACCATGTGACCATAGGAAAAGAGTGATGATAATCTAAGCTTTTCAATAAAAGTGTAAACTGTTATGGGATATTTTAACATCAGTTCAAAAAAAATAGTAATTTAAAAGAACTTCTAAAAATCTGATAAGCAAATTGGACTTTTCAACAACTATCAATAACTACTCAATTGTTAAAATTAGATTAGTTCAGAAATTAGATTGATTCAGTATTCAGAAAAATAACTGTCTGGCCACGATCTAGCACTTGATGCCAACACAACAACAAATAACCCTTTTTTTTATCAGAGTTTGTACTTTATATGTTTTGTAAGAGTACAAAACAAACCCTTTGTTGCATATATAATATATTTGAGTGGCCTTTAATACAAACATCTGCCGTGACAGATAAAGGTTTATTATGTCAAGGATCAAGATAGAAAACGAAATTGAGAGCCAAAGCAGCTAAAGCATTTTGTTCTCATTCTTTCAATTGGTTTATAGTAAAGGCAGGAAGCATTAGCACTTGTGGTTCATTGTGATATTCTTTGTAGAGAACATCAGGGTGTGGAAAGATGAGCCGGTTTCTGACATGCAAGTCGGTAACAACTCAAGTTATGTTTTCCTTTTTTCATTCCCTAAAGAGAAAGTTGTACCTTGCTGAAAAAACCTCTGGGTGGCGCACTAACCTCTCATAAAGAAGAACGAGGGAAAATCAACTATTTTCAGCAAAGATCTCACACACTTTCTGCATGTCATTTTCTGCATTTAACTAAATATATAAAGTTTCTTCAATATGTCCCCATTAACTGTGGGGTTTCTTTGGAAGTTTTTCCTTGTCCGATGTGAGGGTCGAAGACAAATGGTGTAAAGTCCACTGAGACAAATGTAACATTTTTGATATTGGGCTATATTAATACACTTTGATTGCTTGATTGATTTATTGACTTTGTACCGCAGCTAACATGCTTTTTACATTTTACTTTTGTTTTGAGAACAACAAATCAAAGCATACATTGAACATTTTACCCTTGGGATATTGGTGGCTTTTCCAGCAAAATACACATGTTCAATCTGTGTAAATAAATAAAACCTGAATCTAAATCCAAAACACCCTGGTAGTTTTGTTAACTGAGAAAGATTTGGGTACCGAGGAAAAGTGAAGGTTTAACAAGCTTGTACTGTATCTGGTCAGACAGGCTTTTAATAGGTTACTGAGAAACTAAGATAATGATCAGTAAATAACAGGCTGGTATTTTCCGTCTTTTCTTGGAAAAGCTTAAAAGCTGCTTGCTCTGAATAAGGCCACCTCAAATATTGCTGATTACCATGGCGTTTTCCATGGCAACGCGATGGCCCACAGTGTGTGTGTGTGTGTGTGTGTGTGTGTGTGTGTGTGTGTGTGTGTGTGTGTGTGTGTGTGTGTGTGTGTGTGTGTGTGTGTGTGTGTGTGTGTGTGTGTGTGTGCGCGCGTGCGTGTGTATATTTGAGAGCGGAGCAGTGGCTCCTGTTGAGCAGATCACTTGAGCTGTCCATTGAGCAACAGATGAAATGGAGATGAGCTCGTCAGGGATCACTGTAAAAGCTCTCAGTACGTAATGAGTGGAGGAGAAGTAGACTGTGGATTTTAATATGCAAGACTGGCTGTCCGGAAAAAAAACCCACTTCAGATTCACCGGCTGTATTGTGTACATTTTAATTCAGGAATGTAGCAGTAATGTGTCCACTGTGGCGTTAATAGTACATATTTTACAAGAATGGAAATCCAGTCCTTATCTTGAAGACGAGAATTTCTATTATTTGGCTTTAAGTGGGCTGTGACATCATTTAATGTGTACTCAGCACATAAAACCATTATTACTCTCCCATAAATTGTGTGTACGTGTGTGTTTATGTGTGTGTGTGTGTGTGTCCTGAGGTGTACTTTGCTTTTTCAAAGATTTTATTATATATGGGCATTTCCCATATTCAAATGTATATATTTGCCCTTACTCTGAATGAATAAAAAGAAAACGAAGGATGACTTTCTATGAATAAAAAAAGAGAACCACAATAGATAGTTAATAATGAGGAGACAATACAATACAGAAGTCCCTGACAGCTATTCACTCAGCATGCTAAGCAGAAAATCAATGTTGTAGTATCAGCAGAGTTCCTATTAAATAATTTATAATCAGAAAAATGAAAAACAAACAACTTTTCTCAACTCATTGTTGTGGGGTTTAACCTTGGTCTTTATGTAGAGCTGCAAATGTGACTCAGGTAATTGTAAACAAACAAAACAATACCCCTGGGCTGAAGGGTAAGGGGTACAACAATTGATTGGATGAAGTTATTGCTTATTGGGGGTGTAGGCATTACCTGAGCCTGGGATCCATTCAGCATCAGATAATACAGCTTGCTGAGGATGCTCTGCTGCAGCTGGTCCCAGGAGATGCTCCTGTCCTCACGCATGAGAAATGGAGGTCCAAACCTGACAGAAGAGAGGGGAGGGGAGGAGAGGAGAGGAGAGGAGTGGAGAGGAGAGGAGAGGAGAGGAGAGGAGAGGAGAGGAGAGGAGAGGAGAGGAGAAAAGTGAAAGATTGACAGTAAAATCAAAAACATTGGTTCACTTTTGAAGTCACCAAAACTACAAAACAATATAAATTACATTTCTGAGAGAGTGCCTCCATTGAAGGTCAATTCAACTCATTGTGTCATCACCCCATCTGTCAAGAGCATCAAGGCTTTACTGTCCGCTCCTTGTGTCCTGTACTGACAACTTGAAGGGACATAAATAAAGTAAAGAACCCAGTCTGTATGTCATCAATGCATCAATGCCTCGTAATGGGTTCTCTGTCTCGAGGTTAACTTAAGGCTATATCAGATACTTTTATTTGTGAGGTTAATGAGAGAGTCAGTTGTGTTTGTCAAGTATTTCAGGATCTCTCACGGATCATTTAGACATAAAGAGCTGAATATTGAAGTTTCAAGGTTCAAAGCACATACAATCAATTGCCAGTGTATTACTGCAGGTACACCTAGCTCAAACTAAGGAGTTTAAAACAACACCGCTGCAATACATCCTGCCTTCAAGAAGGGTAAGGAGCTTTTTGAGAGTTGTTGATTTAATGTTATGGTCATTTTGGAGGTTTTAGTTTGTTGGCTGTTGTTTGACTTTCGTATATTTTTTGCAAGAGTTTGTGTGCCTACACCATTCTTGCAAAAGTTGGTAGAAGGTGCTATACTGTTTCAAATTGCTACAGAAGCTAAATCTGTAATGCCAAAAGTGGTTCAACAGTGTAGGAACTGAGCTTTAATTTTGGTGATGGATGTATAACAGTACAAAGACGGACTCACACATGTTTCATGGGCCAAACAAGTGCTCATATGTCCAAGTCTAACATAGTGAGTGAGTTTAAGGGAATCTGTTATCAGACATGATGACTGAAACTGAACGACTGAAGGGAAATATGAACACATCTGTAATGACTCAAGGCAATGTTAGATTTAATTGATCCCTGTAAAGAAATGTGAGCCATCCACTTAAAAGAGCTTTGTTGGTGATGGAAAACATTTTATTTACACACAATAAGCCCCCTAGTGTCAGAATATTACTGAATGCTAATACAATCCTAACCAGGAAGTTATATGGATGGATGCTACCCTGACTTAAATGCATGTATTTATTTGAATGATGCTCTGTGTTACAAAGAGCACACCATTTCTCACAATGGGTTCTGAGACATTACAATGAATTACATTTACTGCAATTAACTGCAGTCCTTCAAACACACATTGTGTTTTCAACATGAAAGTGCCTCCTCAAACCAAGCAGCGACAGAACCAGTCAGTGTGCACCTAAGATAAATGTTTTTAGCAGCTGACAAAATGTACCTTATTGATGATGTTTCCTTAAGAGACAATGCCATAACTGTGAAGATGGACGTGATCAGGACATTTCCTCTCTTATTTGCAATGCAATAAAGCCCCTCAGGGACCTTTAACCCCAAACACAACAACGCAGCTAATCTGTGGGTGGCATTGATTTTGCAAAACTATTTACTGATGCTGCCTACACTTGTTAGAGTAACATATGGCAACCGTTAAATGGTAACTTTTACAGGTTAAGTGTTTCAGTTTGAGCTACATTGTTGGACTCAGTCTCAGGTTTCAGCTTCTAGCCACAGCTGAATGGGGCTCAAGCTGCACAAGTTAAATAAAAGGAGCCCTGTCTATAGGCATTCATGCAATAGATATACAGGTCAAAGTCAAACAGAAGCTAAATGTTTATATTGAGGCAGCTCTGGATGATGAAAGTCAAATCAGTCATTCTTTATACGACTGAATAGACACAGTGTCTCTGCAATCTTATTAAATAAATCTAAGTTCACTGACTTTTCTACTGTTTGATTAACACGATAACGAAACTTTTTTACAGTCAGCTTTCTTGCAACCAGAGGAGCTGACCATTAGATAAAATGCACTCTCCTCTTTGGCTTCACTTTTCAGAACAAGTGGTTTCCCCCCATGTAAGACCATACAAATAATTGATCCTGCAGCTCACCTGACCGCCTGCTGGCCAGATCCTGCTGTGTTGCAGATGACAAGGAGAACCTTTGTGGAGCCGCCCTGGTTCAGGTATTCAGAGGAGAGGGTGCCAGAAGAAGGTAACTTCTGCCCGTCGGGTCCTGCATTGGAAGTGTAGGGGGAGGAGGGGAGGCTGTGGTGATACCCTGAGTGGAGCAGAGAGGGGGGGGGGGGGACCGTTTAACAAAGGATGACAATCAACCTGGCATTAGCTGGAACAAGTAGAACAGGTGTTTTGAACAGTTTTAGTGAAGAACAAAATTCCATCAGTACTAATTTGGACCACAGTTTACACCTACGTTGTGTATACAAACAGGAAGCGGTACAATTGACCAAATCTGATCTTTTAAAAACAAGAAGTTGACTTTTATAATGTATAAATATTTATGCAAATTAACAGTTTCTTATGAATATGATGCCCAGACTAATCAGATCCATTATGTATATTTATACAAGGAAGAGTCTATATCACTAAGTTAAAGTGTAAGGGTTAATAAAAGGGTTTTAGTTGGCATAATTCATTGTTACGCAGGTAGTGTTTTTCTTAAGATCTGGTAAGGTTAAAAATATAAATTCAGTCAAAAGAAATTGCTTGCAGAGAGCTGTAAATGTCACACGGTAAAAGCACTTGTTCTATTAAAATGTGACTCATATCAAAAGCTTATTATATTCAGCTTGGAGGCAGGACTGAAATGGACCAAAGTAAGAAAACAGCTCTGGGTGTCAAAATGAGAAACTGCTATGCAAGGAGCAACATCTAATGTGACATGTTTACACTGTGATCCAGAAAACATTTTCAGAAAATGTCCATTAATATCAAACCGCCCTTTGATTCTTATTCACCCCGAGGAGCTGTACGAAGAATTACACTTGATCCCTCTCACACACTTACACATGCTGTGATTACTAGTGCATAATAGCTGTGGGGATACAGGAGGCCCTACCTCTTGTGTCCCAGTCAACATAAACTTTGACATTATCCGATTACATAATTAACCAATGCTTGTTCCACCCCTACTGTGCAATGAATCACTGCCACCTTCCAACCATACACACACACAGACATACACACACTCAAATAAAGATGCAGGAAATCAAGTGTGAATAGATGTAAAGCTTAGATGTAACAGCGTCACGAAAGCAGACAGATTATTGAGACACACACACACCACACACACACACACACACACACACACACACACACACACACACACACACACACACACACACACACACACACACACACACACACACACACACACACACACACACCACACACACACACACACACACACACACACACACACACACACACACACACACACACACACACACACACACACACACACACACACACACACACACACACACACACACAAACCTCAGTTCTAGATACTAGAAAAACAAAGATTGAGCTTAAACACTCGGACTTAAATAACAGTTGTGGTAAAAAATTAATAATATATAAATAGAAAAATACAACTGGCTTTCAAACCATCACATGAAATTAAAAAGGGAGCTTTGAGTAACGTTTTGTTCTAAACAGCTACACAGTGATGTTTTTCCTTCTCTGCAGACAGGAGCAACTTGATGTGACATTTTATGCATATTGCCTTGCCCTTTAGATGGCCAATTCATCTCCTCACTCTTTCTCTCAGTCAACCCTCTCTGTCACCTTTACCTCTCAGTTTTTCAATTGGGAGGCTGAAAAGTGAAAGACCATAAATGTTTAGTTTCAGCATTACCGTCTAACCATTAACACTCGAGTCTAACTAAACAATTATACAACTATAATTGACATTTCAAATTTTAGACATTTATCTAATTCTTGGTGTAAATAATCTGTCACTTTGTAATTATTTTAGTTTTTTTCTTTGTCTTTGTTTACTCTGTGTCGGTTTGTGGTTATTTTGCCCCTTATTATAGTCTTTGCAGCTGTTTGACATCTTTTATAGTCTTTTCCTATTTCTAAACTTTTTATTTTGATCTATTTCTGTCTTCGAGTGACATTTTGCAGATGAAACGTCGTCATAAAACAACCCTGATTCCTCGATATCACGTTTATAATCAATGGATCCTTTTTTTAATTGTTACTTTTTAAAGGAAAGTTCATTCCGACATAATTATGCCGGAACATAACCATAAAAAAACACACATGGCATTAGCTCTTTAGTTGCTTTTAAACCAATGACCTATATTGTCAGGCAATGCTTTGCAGTTAAGTTTACAACACATGTGAATCACCATTGAATCTTCATATAGTATACACAGCAAACATTAGGATAAAGGGTTGAATAGCAGTAAAAGGATCCAGCCTTATTATAAAAGCACCAGTTCCAGTGGCTGGAAGTGACAGAAAATAATAAGTCAGGAATGGCAAGGAGTGTGGTTCCTCCCACATGTCCCAGGGTCTGCTGGGAAATCCTCCTGCCAGACTTTCATTCTCACCTCTCCTTCCTCCCTCCCTGAGCCGGACAGAGGAGAGCCGCAGACAGAGGGAGGTGTTAGTGGGGTGGAACAAGACAGAGTGGATTAAAAATGAGAGACTGTGAGGAGGATTTCTCCCAGGACCAAAAGAAAGAGCAGTGGTTGCTAATTTAAAAAAAGTAATTCCCAACAGTGAAGAACAAAATGTACAGAGACAAAGAAGGAGAGAAGCTGCATGTCCTTTCATAAACGTATTGATTTAAGGATCAATTAGCATGCAATTCAACCATTTGTTGTTGACGTGTTGTGACTGTCATGGTCGCAGTGGGGATCTCTTTATGATCTGCCATTTTTAATTAAAAGATAAACATGAAGACTGAAGTGAATGCAAGTGAACTGAGAGGGAGAGAGATACAGAAAAGGCTCTTGAGATTGGAGGTGGTTAGTAAGGCAGCATTAATTAAACAGCTTAGCCCTGAAGAAGACACTACACCTCCTCTGGCGATCACTCTCCTCTCTTGTCTTCCCTTGCCTTCCTTTTGCTTTATCTTACCCCCCTCTCTCCCTGGTACTCCATTCATCATTTCCACTATCTGCTTCCTCCCCCCCGCCCCACTCTCCGCTAACTGGCTGTTTGGGATGAATCAGCCCTGAGCTTCAAAGCAGCGGTCAGCTCTAAAAGACGATTTTTGAGTGCGTTTCAAATTCATGGGATGGGTGCTGGAAGGATTTGTGTGCCTGGGAGGACATAGTATGCTGTTGTACACAGTATATTCTTATATCTCAACATACTCTACAGTAAGTATTCACACAGACACATGCACAGCTTGCGTCTTTTCTATCTTCAGGACTTTTACAAATCAAAGATCCCTTAACTCCACACAGAATAACTGAATTATTGCGTGAAGTGTGGGCAAAGCATCTGCTGACTGAGGCTGAGGCACCATGAAGTCAGTATGACTTAAAGCTAATGATACAAAACTTTTTTAAAGATAGTGTTCACAATTAATTTCCTCGGTAAAAAACGCTAGACGTTGAGTTTCTGCCTCAGTTACGGGCCGTCTCCACAGCAGCGTTAAAAAATCTTGAAACGCTTCTGCCCATTCACTTTGAATGGGGTGACGTCACTTTCCCTCACTTTTCGCCGAAATGCATTGTGGGCAGGCGAGCGGAGATTCTCAGGATTTTCAAGATTCAAAGTTGAACAATGTTCAACTTTTGAAGCTGAGGTGGAAGCGGCAGCCAATCAAATCCCGTGTACGCAAATCTGGCAGTTCAAGCTCTAGCCAATCAAACGGCGTGTATGCTGGGAGAGACATACCGCAGGTCATTTCCTCATATTCCAAAAAATGGAGGAGAAATTAGCGGTAGCGAATCAATCACCCGGTGCTTTATGACCAGACCTACCGGGATATAAACCAGAGGAGCCAGGCATGGAGGGAGGTGGCAGAGACAGTGGTATGTTTTCGCCTGTTTTGGGGAGTTTATATCCAGTTTACTTCGGGCTTTTTGGCTTCGTATGTCGCGGGCGGGAGATTCATGTGATTGGTTGATCGCAAAAAAATCCCCAAGCCTCAGATACGCCCACCTCCAAGATTTTTTTAACGCTGCTGTGGAGACGGTCCGTTAGAACCTTCGTTGGTCCGGCATCAATCTTATTGTAAGTATAATAGTATTGTAGGAAAGGTAATTCAACACTGGTGTTGTTTTACCAAACTGTTGTGTAACACATCGTTACATAGTTGTGTAACAAATAAAAAGCAAAAATCACAATCCTTTCAAGTGGTCCAAGACCAAATGGGTGACCCCTGTCTGTGCAAGCCACACACCAGGCTAAAAATACCCAGGGGGCTGTTGGGCTTTGCCCCGGATGAATCAGAGTTCCCGACAGCAAACAGCCATCCGACCACAAAGCTCTCTGTCGGCAGCAAAACACCTGAGCTTTCTGCCAACAGCCAAAATGACAGATTAGGGAGGTTGTAGGGGAGGAACTCAAAACACCTGATGCCCTCTCTCCTTCTTCTTCTCTCTCTTTTTACCTCTCATATGTCTCTGGAATACACTGCATATCCCCTCTGCTCTTCTCTTTCTGTCATGAGAAGGCACAATATGCCAGCTGCTGAAGTTGCACCATTGACATTGTCCTTTGTATTTTGCACTTAGTTGAATCATGTCTTAAATATTAGTCCAGCAACACTACTGCAATGTTGTGTTGTTTATATCTGTGAAGAAACAAGATGAAAAATGGCAGATATGCTTTGAGAGAATATATGTTGCAGCACGAAAAAATAAGTATGAACAGAAGAAAATGTCTATGTGTCCCAGCCTTGCTGCCTGTTGCTCTTAAACACAATGAAAGTTGTATCCCACTCATACTGCAGGTTTAGGTTTAACAGGGTTGAGGGCAGAGGAAGCGATCTAGTTGTCATTCGCATAAGCGTTTATGCTTCGTTTGTGATGTTCTCCATGAGGCAGCTGAGCCGAGGGTTGCTGTTATTTCCCCGATGACTTGTAAACACGTTCCAGAGGCAGTGGTGGTGATCAGAGCACCAAGTGTAGACTTTCTCTTCAGGTTATTTTCACTGATGAACCCTGCTGGAAGGCCTGTGAATGTTCCTGGCATATTTCTGCTTTCTGCACTGGGTTTGCTTTAGGCAGCCTGTAATGGCCTTAATGGAACTGCACAGGATGTTTACTTTGCGGGGTTTCATGTGCGTGT